CTCCTCTGCTGATACTACATGTTGTCTCCTCTGCTGATACTACATGTTGTCTCCTCTGCTGATACTACACGTTGTCTCCTCTGTTGTCACATCATGTTGTCTCCTCTGCTGATACTACACGTTGTCTCCTCTGTTGTCACATCATGTTGTCTCCTCTGCTGATACTACACGTTGTCTCCTCTGTTGTCACATCATGTTGTCTCCTCTGCTGATACTACACGTTGTCTCCTCTGTTGTCACGTCATGTTGTCTCCTCTGCTGATACTACATGTTGTCTCCTCTGCTGATACTACATGTTGTCTCCTCTGCTGATACTACATGTTGTCTCCTCTGCTGATACTACACGTTGTCTCCTCTGTTGTCACGTCATGTTGTCTCCTCTGCTGATACTACACGTTGTCTCCTCTGTTGTCACATCATGTTGTCTCCTCTGCTGATACTACACGTTGTCTCCTCTGTTGTCACGTCATTTGATACAGTTTTTATAAACCTCTGAAGAAGTGTTTTATTTTGAAAGAAGACCTGTACAGACCCCGTCTCTCCTCCACACAGGAGTGGTCCTGATGACATGCTGTGGATCAACCTGTGGGGGGTCTGCTGGTCCAGATGGGTCCAGACGGGTCCAGATGGGTCCAGATGGGTCCAGACGGGTCCAGATGGGTCCAGATNTTACCTGTCTCCAGTTAAAAGGAAAACGCCTTGGAATTGTTTGTGGATCCTGATCAAGCCAGCCTGCCTGCCGAGCCTCTCACCTGTTTCATGCGTTGCCTCCTCGCCTCACCTGTAAATACAACACACTCTTGTAAATATCACCTTTGGATTTTTGGACTCTGGACCTCCTCCTCTACGTTTAATCCCAAGCCCTCACTAGTAAGCATAAAAATAATTGTTGAAAATCATCTCCTAAAGACCTGTTACTTACCTCTTCAAATCCTCTGCTTCTAGGCCCCGTTCCCCGTTCACTCCCYCTGTAAATAAACATTATTTTATTGTTCAAGTTCTTGCCTCCTGAATTGTTCTTGGTGTTTGCTCACGTTGACTTTGTTAAAAACCTGATAGGTACATATACATACAAGACATGATAAAAAAATTCAAAAGTTAAAAACGTATACAAAAATTTAAAAATTTGTAACAAATTAGATACAATCCAGTGCACCAAAACACAACAAATATAAATCAGTGAACAGTTACTACTAACATTGGTATCATTGGTATCAAAGAGCCCCAACAATCAGATGCAAGTCCCTCTACTTTGTCCTTTATTAAAAAGAGAAATAGCTATAGGGATGAAGGAATATTTGTACCTGTTAATTTTCATACAGAGAAGTCTGAGCCGACTGCCARACGGCAGAAACTGGAACTCAGTGCGAAAAGGATGAGAACTGWCAGCAAGAATAGTGCTAGTTTTCCTGGTGATCTGTCTATTAAAAAGTTCTGTAAGTGAGCATTGTTCAACTCCTATGATCTTGTTACTTGTGTTTACATCTCTGCTGAGTGCATTTTTGGACTTAACGTTAAGATTTCCAAACCAGCAGAGGAGAGAAAAGGTCAGCACAGACCCAACATATGATTTATAGAACAGAATCATTATAGACTTATCAACCTGAAATTGCCAGTTTTCTCAAACAAAACAGTAACTGCTGTCCCTTTTTTGCAGGTTCTCTGAATGACAGGTAATTTTTAACTTATTATCCAACACAGTGCCAAGATATTTGTAATTTTTTACTATCTACACTATGTGACCTTTAATTTCTATTGGTTTATTTGTGTTATGAGACTTATTTCTAAAATCAATGCACATGTCCTTCTTTTTCTGTACATTTAATTGGAGAAAAGCATTTTCACACCAGTCTACAAATTCATCAACCACAGGACCATGAACATGTTCATCATCATGTAGAAGGCTGACTATTACTGAATCATCAGCAAATTTTAA